ACAATGTTTACCTAAAGACTCAATTAGAAAGCCAAAAACTGTTTATCTATAGACTCAAGCATAATCTCAAACCAAGTTTACCTATACACTCAAGTATTAACCTTAATAATGTTTACCTATAGACTCAAGTATAAACTCAAACAATGTGTACCTATGGACTCAAGTATAAATTCAAACAATATTTACCTATCAATTCAAATAGAAATCCAACCAGTGTTTACTTACTCAAGTATAAACCAAAAAATGTTTACCTAAAGGCTCAAACATAAACCCAAACAAGTTTTTATCTATATAAAATAAGTGTATGTCAAGCATACACTTAAACAATGTTTATCTATAAACTTGTGTATAAACCTGACCAATGTTTACCTAATGACTTAATTTTAATAAAAAAGAGTAGATTTCAAAATTAAATAATTCAACAAAGGTTGATATGCCATAAAATTAACCAATCTATCCAATCTAAGGAATTTTGTTCCTTACTGACTTCCCAACACTTGTAACATTGTCCCAAATTATATTAATTTTAATGAATAATGAAACAATGCTAAGAATTCTAATAACTTCACAAAAGAAAAAGAAAACAAAGAGTTGGCAAAATCAGACTTCATGCTACACAAAAGAAACAATCCTGTTAAAAGAGCAACCATTGTTTTTGACTTACAATTCTTTTAATCTGAAAAGAGTACACATTAAAAATGATGGGGTGATATATGCATGAGTCAACACTTTTACCTAGGATTAATGTAGTATCTGTCCCAGGGCCAGTGCAAGGGTCTTGTGGGCCCCACTGAATCTATGATATGAGGCACCTCACTCTACTACATCTCAAATTTCATAAGGTAGTATTCATATAAAATACAAATTTTATTGTAACCTAGTTATGTACAATAGTGGATCATATGCAATATAGGTGAACAATTCAACTAGAAAATTGAAAATAAATACAATGAATCTAAATACAAATTTTAGAGATGTTATGATAGATCATTCTATCTTAAATAAATCAACAATGTTTTGCAGCAATTTTTAACATCAACTTGAGATTTTTCTTGTTAAAAAGTTGGAGAATTTTAACACATTCAATATTATAGATAAAAAATAATGAATTTTATATAGTGTTTTTTGAGACTTAGCATAAGCAAAACAAATTCATGGATTTGGATGAAAAATGACCCCAGAATGATGTTCAAATCTGCAAAAATGTTAAATTTTTTAACAGCAGTTATCATTATTTACACTATTTATATTTGGACTATTGTCCTCATCTTTGTTGTTGTTATCAAAATGTTTCAGTTGTTGTGACCTTTCCTTCATCATTCTGGGTAACATACATGGAATTCTGAAAAATAAGAACTAGACAATATCCCTAGACATGAGCAGTAGAACAAAAAAGTCTACCCCCATAGATTAAATAAAGGGTTCAGTTCAGAATTCCCTGTAGGTTAGCCAGACCGATATACACCCGATGAAAGCCATAGGGTACAATGACCGAAATGTGATAGCAACAACAATACAGACAATATGTTCCTACTTGACAAAAGGTCAGATGCTCTCTAAGTTTTTGTTCCTTCTGCTGTGGCCAGGTATTGAAATCACAACTCTTTGGGTCAAGTCACTTTTTGGATTACTTCAACCAACACTACTGGGGAATGTGTCCTTGAGAGTTGAGTTACTAAAGGGAATTAGCTGAAACTGAGATATCTAGAAAAGGCATGGCATGTGAAATTAGAACAATCTACTCCCATGGACTAAATAAAGAGTTTGGTTAGAAATTACAATTTATATCACCTGAAGAAAGCCAGAATGTACAAAGGCCGAAACATCATAAATCTGGCAATAAAGATGAGAACAACAGTCCAATGTAAATAGTATAAATAGTTACAATACCTCATTTCAGAAATATAGACAGATGTTGAATAGTTGATATTTAGTAAAATACATCACCCCATTTCATTTCAGTGTACTAGTAAATAGTAGAATGAGTCACTGAACACCAAGAATCACAACCCCATGTTTTTTGAGTTCATTTTTTTTTCTTGCCAATAACCAATTGTATATATTTTTTTTCATTTAAGCCATTCAGATTTTTATTACTAAATTTTTTCACTTTTATTCTTGTTGAATGATTGATAAATTTTCTTTTACAAAAAAATAATCTATAAAGTTTTCAACATTTTCACCAAGAATTTAAAAGTAAGCAGATTGCAATATCAGGCACAAAAAATAAAAATAATCACAAGAATTAGACATACACATTTCCCGGTTTTCGTATTTGAATTTTCTGATGAATCTTAATTAATGATTGAATAAGTTCATGGTGAGTTCTACAACAATAAAATATTCATAGAAATTCCCTTATCGCATTAAATATTTGTTGAGCTTACCAACATTCAACAAAATATTGCGATAATAATCATAAATATGATCGCTAGACGTTATGTTAAAGAATTAAGGGATACAAATGAAAATATTTGAAATTGATAACTTTTTCCATTTCACTGAAACAGACGTTAAACACTTCTAGCTCCCTTTCCCTCTTTCATCTTTTTTACTAAAAGTAGCGTCTGTGATGTTTTTTCCGTCTTTTCACGCGATCAAAACGGAATAGTCCATTATTCATGAGGCATTGGCAGGGCGTAACGGTCGTTCTAAATAAGGGTGGGACAAGCAGAATTATAAGATATTTGGTGTACATCAATTTTTTTTATGTTATTTTTTTTCTTTGGAAAATGCATAAGAAAAGATAAAGAAGCTCTATTAAAAAAGTTAAAAATTCAAAACAAAATGCCTCTCTAAATTGTAATGTAAAAAAATATGACAAAAAGAAGCAGCAAAGCCTCTTAGAAACATTTATTATTTATGACTTCCTAACTTGAGATCAACTTCGGTTTACTTTAGAGATTTTAGAAGAATGATTAAAGTTTGTATTTACATTTTTTATGAATTTTTCTTCACGAATTTAAAAAAAAAAATTTCTTCGAATTAAATTGTATCAATTCTCTAAAATTTAAAACTTACAGAGAAAATATTTTAATCAATGATAAAAATTCGTTAGAAAACAAAAAATAGTAAGTAAAAAAAGGTTTTAAATAATTTTTGTACTTTGAGGTTTAATTTGAAATCAAATTAAATTTTTACAGGTACTTTTTTGTATCCCGGTTTTTAAAATAATTCAGTTTTGTTGTCAATGACAATATGTATTTCTTAGAAATAATAGTTCCTCATTCCTCCTGAAATGGCTGGCCGTTTCAAATTGTTTGATTGCATCTGAAAGAAATATTCACGGAACAAAAACAAATTTAAAATAATTTAATTGTCAGCTAACTTGCTTATACTCGTTTTTTTTTTTAATATTGAAACAAAGGAACAATACTTTGCCCTACCCGAACAAATTAATATTTACACAATAGGAGAAAAAATATGATTCACAATTTGACTTCGTCTCTTTTTTTTCGTTTTCGCTTGGTCGAATTTATAAATATTTCTATGAATTTTTAGTTTTAAAAAGCACATACCAGGCAATATAGAGATTTTACTGTAGTGAATCAGGAGTGATAAAAGATAAATGAGTAATTATTGTAAATTTTGTTGAATGTAAGCAAGGAGGGATCGTTCGTTGTAGTACATGAGTAAAAGGTTTTTAGTACTACGGCTTCATTCATATTCTTAGTCGGTCACTCGGTCGTGTTAGCATCTGCGCACGTGTTGTCCCAATTAAAACGAGTTCAGACGAAAAGAATGGTACAGCAAAGAAATTACTGATGCAATAAGTTAATTCATGACTGAAAAAACTTAAAGAACCAAACATTATTTAATTTTTCTCATATTACTTAGTTTCTTACCACTGAAAAAAATTTTTTTAATACTTTGTTAGAAATATTTTACAAAATATATATTTTTTAAATTAAAAAAAAATTTTTTTAAAATATTTTTTTATTCGATAAAAGCTTGATTTTTTTTTAAATTAATTTTTTCTTTAATTAATTTAGATATGAATTGGTCTTAGAATTAAAACATCTTTATCAACTAAAAAGGATTTGTTTTGTTGTGTGTTAATTTTATTTTTAGAAGTTTTGTTAGTTTAAAAAGTCAACTCAAATGTTCTTTTGGCGTCACTCAAACGCTGTGGTAGCGCCAAGAATACTTTAAAAAAAATTAAGGATTCCTCCCTTAAAACAATACATGGAGGTCACCGTAACAATTCGGCCATACAAGAGTAAATACACACAATCCATCAAATTTTAGAATATTATAAAATTCTTCCAAATTTTCTGTCTTGAGTAAAGGTTAAAAAGTATAGGAATGCAAGTGTAAATTGTGTATTGGCACGTAATAATTCAGCAGTGAATGTAAATTAAGAATTTGATTGGCTGCTTTTTGTAATCTCTTCTGCTGGTCTTACTAGTAAGTAAATGGCGTAGCTGGGAGGGAAGAGGGAATTAGAGAAGGAAGGAAGAAATAATAGAATTTTAGCTCTTTCAAACTCTAACTAAAATTAATTAACTACAGCGGGAGTAGTTAATTGAAGAAAGAACACTTATAGGATACTATTGCAGAAATTAGCTTAGAAATCTTATTTTTAAAATCCCATTTTTTTTAAAGGAGTGACTTGATATTTTTTTTTTTTTTTTTGAAGGAAGAAGAGCATAAAAAACTGTTGATTTATATAGAGATGCCAATAGTTTTAATAATTTAACAAAAGACACAGAAAAATCGAAACCAAGTTTGCGTTTTTTTTCCTTTAAAACGTCTTTAATTGTTATTGGCAATACTTGCTTCTTTAATCATCTAAGTGGTGTTGTCCATGCTTGAACAATTTACTCCCCTGGGGAGCTTGGTTTTTGGGAATTTCTTGTTTGTCACCCGCCTTTTTTATGATTAGCATTTGACAAACTTTTACTGTACTGCTTTCTATCAGTCCTTTTTTCCTTCCCTCTTTAGTCCTTCTTTTCTTATCCACATCACGTTTTTCTTCCTCTTAAAAAGCAACTGGAGGCATGTCGTGCAATGTTGAACGACAATTCAAAGAGAATGACCAAAATGGATCTTGGATTACTTTGTATAAAGTAAGTTACTCTCTCTTTATTATTATTATTTTTTTTACCCTAACTCTGTCGTTAACTGTCTATTTATTCATTTTTGTCATCGTACCAACCTGATGACCCGTAGCTTTATTTTAAAGCTTTTTTCAATGAATAAAGTTTTTTTTTAACGTGGAAGACGAGCCTAGAATTTGCCAGTTTGCGTCGCTACTTCCATGCCTTTGTCAATGGGGAAATATAGTTGCTTTCTATTTTATTTTTATTTATTTGTGTCAGCTTCAAAATGTGAAGATGAAGGAAAGCATCAACCCTCCCGTCTCATCTCTTTGGTAAAACTAATTCAAGTTGAAGAAACTTGGAAGTTATTTATCGACAAGTATAATTTAGAGTAGTTAGTTGCTACCTTATCACTCATCTCGGGACAATGTGTGTGTGTTTTTTTGTTTTTTTTTAAATCTTTGTTTTCAAAGGAGAAAAACAAACAAACAAACCTACACATTCTTTTCATTTGTACCCATGTACGTGGCTGGTGTACAGTTAATTTCGCCAACTTTTCCGTGTGCGTGTGCGCGCGCGCTATTACCCCCTCCTACATTTTATTTTTTATGAATAAAAACACAGATAAAAACTTGATTCATCATGTGTATGAAAGTAAGTAAAATATAAATATATATATATATATATATATATATATATATATATATATATATACATACATACACACACACGTATATATGTACCTTTTATCATTTTCTTTTCAGTAATCATTTTTTATTTTTTCTAATTTAGTTCCGTCTTTTCAAGTTGATGTCATCGACTTTGCGTTTTTATTTTAATATTTCTCGACATGTTCGACTTTGCATTTCGTTTTTATTTAATATTTTTCTTCATTAAAAAAGATATACAGAAAAAAAATAATGCTTTAAACTTCGATAAATTCGCATTTAAAAATGATTATTTTTAATTCTCTAGTGATTAAACAGTTTTACTTTAATTATAAAAAGCACATTCCTTTCTGACACGAGCTTTAAAAAAAACTAAACCTCCTTTTTTTTTATTTTACTCTTTAATTAATTTAATCTTTAAAGCTTGAATCAAAAGCATTTTGTTTGAAGAAAGATAAAAATTACAATTTATTTTTTTTTTCTGATAAAGTAAAGGTCACTTTTTAATTTCCATATTCTTTTTCTCACACTTATCGCAGGTTAGGGAGAGACATGTAATTTCATTAAGAATTTTTTTTTTTTTTTAAAGTAAAACTTATTTGAAATAACGATAACATCTAATTAATACCTTCACAGAAAATTTAAAAACATTTCAGAACATTTTCCTTAAAATAAAAGTAACTTTATGAACTTGAATTTTATAAAAATTAGATTTCGCGATAAAAAAAAAAACCTTTTACTTTCAGTTTTAGACACTCTCAATCGACGACTTTAATCAAGTGTTTTACTTTTAACCGTTAAAAATTAAAGAAAATATACCGAACAAATATCTTTTAAACATTTCAAGAATACTCAAGCAAGTTTAATCTTTTTAGAACTTGGATGTCTAAATTCTAAGGTCACAACACTAAAAAGGAAAAAAAAAGCTTTATTGTATGCTTTGAATATGAGAGGGAAAAGACTTGGGAAATATTCCAAAAGCAAAAAAAAAAAAAAATTGAAAACTTAAACTACCTAATGATCCTATTCAAATATCTTCATCAAAACTAGAAAATTGATTTTTCTTTCCAAAGTGATGCTACAAAAAAAAAACGGTTTAGTAGCTTTTACTTTTAGTTTCTTTTACGACCTTTAAAAAAATTACATTCCTTCTAAATTCGTTGTAAAAAGGGATCTTTCTTGGAACAAGATATTTAATTCGTTAATGAGATAAATTCTCTTTATTTTATTAACGAAAAACTAAAAACACCAATATCTTCACAATTCATAATTAAACTTTTTTAAAAACATTTTTAAAGTTCTTTTTCTTGTAACATACACGTTTTGGGAAACTAAAATTATAATCACAATTTTTTTTTTTTTTTTTTTTTTTTTGCATAAAAAAAATATCTGCTAAAAAAAAAAGAATTAAAGGTAAATAAATAGGGATAACAATAACATTGCAATATCATTGCATGTATGTTAATTATCGATTGCGAGATGCGACTCTAAATTCCTGCAATTTTTGAATCCGAAAGTAGAAAGAGTTGTTTTTTCGAAACTGCATACCATAATTCTTTATATACTCACAGAAAATAAAATCTTCTATTCATTGTGTACACTTTTAAGGCATTCAAGATTATTTATTGCTTGATTTTGATGTTGGTTTTTAAAAATAACTGATGGGAGTTGGGGAGAGGAAGGCGTGATTCATCTTGAATTCTCAAATAATGAATTTCCACATGATGAATAATGATAAAAAAAACTGATCCGGGATTAGTTGCTACTTGGCTAAATGAGAAATAATTTAGGATTTTTTTTTTTTTTAAATTCTCTTCTTTAAATTGCTAAATTAGTGTTATTACTCACTTGATAACTGAATAAAATTGAACTTAGAAAAAAAAGTAATGTAATTTAGGCCATAAATGGTTAAAAAAGAGAAGTAATGAATGTAAATAGCTCCGTAATTACATAAATTTCTTTCATTCATTGAGCGCTGAAGTGTAAACTACTAGTTTTTCATTGTCAAACTCAAACAAAATTAAAAGCGACAATTTATTTTGAATGTCATTGTCGGTATTTAATTTTTTTTATGCATTTCCACTCAAAGTCAAAATTATAGCTCTCAAATTTGCCATAGGCAAAAATAGAAACTGGATATTTTTGACTTTTGTTTTTACATCATCATAAAGTTTTCATTTGGATATTTTTATTTTAACCTGGTGTCTATTTGAATGATAAATGGGGGGGTTTTATGACTCGATTAATTTGGGTAAAGAAAGTTCTAATTTGTAGTTTGATAATCCAATTATCTTGGTCAGCAATCTATGAATTGTTCAATTAAGCATAGTATTTTCTGCCAGCCAACTTGGTTTTGCAATCAAGGTAACTTTTTTTTATTCTGTTGCACATACTGTAGCTATGCTATGTGTTTTTATTTGTAGCTCAACAAAGAATCAATCTCTTTCTCTTTTAATTGTTTAAGCAGAAATTCTTATCTACAGGTTTTTTGGAAATCTTTATTGGCCGTAATTCTCTTGCTCTTGCGAATCTACAAATAATAAAACACCAATTTAGTTTTTTTTCTCCTTAATCATTTTTTTTTGTACGTATATAAATAACTGTCTGTATTGTTTAGTTTTTATAGCTTTTTATTGCCATAAATGAAATGCAATGTTTGTTTTATTAGGTGATCTTTTAAATTCGGTAATATTTCATGCTTTGTTGATGTAAGAACTTTTTTTGGCAACCATCCACAAATTTGTTTTTGTAGTAATCTATTTTGATCACAATGTTTTCTATTCATCATCAGAGAATATGGTGAATAAATAAGTTCTCATTGCATTTCTGTCTAGTAGCTAGTCTAGTATGACTTGTAGCAAAGATAAAAAAGATCTAAAAAAAAAACAAAAAAAAAACTGTTGTTAATGTTGATTGGGAGAGGCGGAACTTAAGATATCTTTACTAAACTTTCATTAACTTGGAAAATCATTTAACCATTATTGTTTTTTACATCAAACAAAATAAAACTTTTTTTTATTATTTCTCTTAAGCAGCATTTGCAAATAATTACTTATCGGTGGCAAAAGGAATGCGATATTCAGAAAAAAAAATGAATTGTATAAGAAAAGAAACAAAAAACCTACTTTTCTTAGACATTTTCATACGGTGTGCTTTTTATTAATTTCATTCAAACTTCCAAGAATTGATGAATTTTCTTTTGCTATTTTCAGTAAGAGGAAATCTTACTTATTTTTCTTTCTTCTAAACAAGTGTGTCTTAGTTGGTCTTAATTGGCAATTTTTAATTCCAAAAACTGATGTTTACTGTTTATATACGCCACCATTGATAGACAAAAATAAAATTGATATTTACAGTTTAATGCCCCCTCTTCCGAGTTTATTTTCCTGGAAACTGATTTTAGCAATTTCCATGAAAATAGATTTTTGAATTATTTTCTTGGAAAAACGGATGTCGGGTATAACAATTTTGTCAGGTTTTTATTTATTTATATGTTTATTTATATATTTATTTTTTTATTATTTATTTATTTTTAATAACTATAGAACTTTTAGAAGGAACCGGAAACCTAATCCTAAACAAGGGATAAACCTCTACTCCTGTTCAAAAGACCCGATCAGGAATGTGAACTGGATGATAGACGAATCTATCTACCCATATTAGTGGAGGATAGAAAGAATTAAAATTAAATAATAAAAAAAACTAGTGAATAAACTTTCAAATTTCAGGCACAGACTTGAAGCATACTTTTAGTTAGAAGGAACAGGAAACAAAGGATAAACCTCTGCTCCTGTTCATAAGACTGGTGAGGAGTATGAACTGGACGATAGGTATAACAATTTTGGTATGAACATAATAGAATATACTATTGAATTGATTGGTGTGACAATTTTTTTTTTTTTTTTTTTTTTTTTTTTTTTTTAACTGAAGTTAGAAAAATGTCAATTTCAAATTTTTTTTTTTTTCTATTTTCATCCTCTTATGTCATCACTTTTCCTGTTGCATGCTTGTATAGACTGGATAAAGTGAAACAGATTAGCAGAAATCATGTTTCATTGTCAGATCTGCTGTGTGGTTGATGTCTTATGTACACAATGTTTGCAGTATGTGAAGTTAATTTTCATTGGCAAATATTCATTTGCACTTCAAATATTTCTGCTACATTTGGTCTGGTGCTTCTGATATATATCTATTCTTAACAAAATCCAAATCTGCAACACTATCAGTCCTAACATGACAGGTCTGCTTCAGTCATTTCCCCATCACTGTAACATGGCTTCCATGTGCATTTTCTATAAATATTTTCATAGTAATTGTTCTGATGAGATTTTGTTTTTGATACTTCAACTTCACAAATTT